CTACACGACATTAGATGAGATCGGATTAAAAATACTTGGAAAACACGAAAATCGGGTTCGAGCTCGGATGATAGATCCGACGTCGTGTAATACCCGCGAATATAAAAAATAACGAATTGACTATTTTGGCCCTAGATACTAAAAACGGTAGTAATATAACTATTATCTAAACATGGACGTTTGTGGATTCGGTTCGGAATTTTAGCGATTCGGTTCGAAAACGGTTTATTCGGTATTCTAAAAAATGTACCAAATTAATGTCTTATATTATTTGGTTTGGTTTCGGATTTGGTACAATTTGGTTTCGGTTTTTGTTAAAAAAAGTTAATTTTTTAAAAAACATTTAATTTTTTGAAAATTTTATAAGTTCGGTTCGGTTAGAAAAAATTCCGTTATATAAAAAATATACCGTTTGACAATTTTGAATGCTATGATTCGAAAAAAATTTGAATGGTACTTTTAGCACAATGTTTATTTACGTCTGTAAAAAATCAGCATACATAAATATATAGATCATATATTATGATGGTATATAATAAAAGTATGAAGTGGATTTACGAATTATCATATCGATTATTGATTTGATTTATTAAGATTTCTCCTCTAAATTTATATGTTCTGCAGAAATTATTTTCCTTACAAATCCAGAAGAACATTTACTTTTTTTGGATTTTATCTGGACTTCTATTCAAATTTTGTTGTCTATACGAATAGAATAGTATATAATCCAAAAATTTATATAACAGTATTTGATTTGAATCTAATCTAAAAATTTAAATTTTCATAATTGCTAATATTAGAAATTAAAATGGATCTAGACTAAATTGGAAGGATACAAAATATACACCCATAAATCCAATAGATTTAGTTTTGAGAAAGGAGCAAAACATGGATTTGGTTATCTAAAAGATATAAAATATAAATCAGGTTGCTTTGTGCAAAAAATACATGCACATATTTCTTTGAAAGGGAAATAAATCTTATTATTGTTGTCGGACCAAAATAACAAAGAGGAAAAACGGGACAATGCTTTCGGGAATTTATACAATTTAAATTTACGTAACAAAATTGGAGGGAAAAGTGACGTCATAACAAGACTGTATAGTGACAATATTACCCCTATATTATTGTATACGCAGTACGCACAAATTATAATGTAGAGAGAAAACGCAAAGCCCCAAACTTTAAAACCCCAAAAAAAAAAAACCCTCCGTCTTCTTCAGATGTCTAAACCCTCAGTCGATTTCTTCTTCTTCTTCTTCTCTTCTTCCTCTCGTGATCCTTAGCGCCATTGCAGCTCCGGTGAAGATCTGAGTGCGGTTATGGCGTAGGGTTTTCGTGGGTTTTCTTACTTTTTTGTCCGCTTCTCGCCGGACGGGCTGTTCTGGAACATCTGGTGCCCGACAGCGGATTTTCTGGTAATAACGATGTGTTTAGCTTTCCTCTTTTCCCCCCACTACTTTTCCTTTCCTATTTTCCGATCTGGGTTTTGATTCTTGCCCTTGTATCTTGATTTTTTTCTCTTTTGGGTGTTGTGACTTAGTATTCAGCTTGTGTTTTTGTTCCAGTTTTTGAAATCTTTTGTCTGAAGCTAACAATGCTCGTCAGTTTTCTAGTCCTTTAGCTTGACTTGAGTTCCTTTTGGCAGCTGATCGAGTTCTTGACCGGTTGACCGTAGGTGTCTGCCAACTCCGTTAAATTTAGTCGTCAAGAAATCAAAGAAAGTTATGTCCATGCCAAATCAAATGTCCGATTCGAAGGAAGAAAAAGTGAAGCAAAGGGATTTTGACTTGAATGTGTCTGCTGCAATTCCTGGTACAGAGCAAATGACAGATCCTAAGAGCGATGAAATTGAAATGGAGCGAGTTCACGGATGGCAGATTGAAAATTATAGTGGTAACGGTGTGAAGGCTGAATGTAAAACTGAGAGGTTGGCTGACAATGGGATGGAGAAAAGCACAAACGGCGATGGCATGGAGGCTGTAAACAAAACAAGGAAGAAGACAAAAGTGAAGTTAGAATTCCCTCATGGTGGCGTCAGCATTACCCGGAGGGTTCTCCGGTCCAGTTTTGCTTCAGCTAAGGAAGATACTGAAAGAAATGATGAACATCATGATTCTGTGGAAGGCAAAATAAAAGGTGATATCAAGGGCAAGTTTAGTGGTGTAATCCCCTGTGATGGGGTGGAAACAGAAGTGGAATCATCTCCCAAAGTAGAGGAGGTTCGCGTAGCTGGTTTTACGAGTGAGCTTAACGTGGTAATCAATGATAACGGATCATATGACGGATATGGAAATGTCGTGTCACATGAAAAAAAGCAGACATTTAAACGTAAACGTGGAAGGCCACGAAAGTTGCAGATTAGCGGTCAATCTGATGATGGAGACTCTGGTTTGAAGTGTGAGCATGGGGTATCTACCTATTTGTGCAATCAACAGTCTGATCCTGATGAATTTCATTTGAGACTGCGTGGTAGAACCCCCAAGACACAGAAAACTGTTGAAGGTCCTTGCATAAGCGGAAAGATGACGAAACGTAAGCGTGGAAGACCTCCAAAATTGCCTAACCAGAATATCAGTGACTCTGTTGGTGAGTCCAAGAGACCAAAAAGTAATTGTGAAGGCAAAGCTAAGGGGCCAGAGACTGATGGAGGTAAACACAGGAGAAGGAAGAAGATCCTACTTAAGGATGAGAGATCTCCAAAGCCACAGAAGGAGAAGAGCTCTGAGGAGACTGATAATTCAGATAATGAAGCAAAGACGAGGTCAAAAATTCATGTCAGTTGTTCAGAGTCACAGGCCAGCAATCCCTCAGTTGATGGGGAAACAAGAAAAGGAGTGCAGGAAAGTAAACATAGCAAACCCGTGAAACGATCTATATCAGGAGCTAAGAAGTTATTGAGGGATCGGATACTGCAGCTGCTTTTAGCAGCTGGCTGGAAAGTTGAATATAGGCCCAGAAATGGTAAGGACTATAATGATGCTGTTTATGTTAACCCTGAGGGAAGGACTCACTGGTCGGTGACCCTGGCTTACAAAGTTTATAGAAAACACATGGAAAGCTGCACGGATGATCCAAAAAATGCTACTGGTGGTTCTAATTTTGCCTTGTTATCAGAAGAGGAGCTTCACATTTTAGAGAGAAAAGTTCAGAAAACAAGGTGCGATAAGGGTAAGGAAAAGGTGAAATTGGAGGACAAGGATGATGCTGAAGACATGGTCACAGTAAAGAGAACAGGGAAGCGGAAACTGCATGCAAGGATATTGCCGAAGGAAAGAATGAGGATGCAGAAGAAGCTTTCTACGAGTTATCGTACTGGGCCACTTCAGAAGAAACTAAAAGGGGGTCACCTGTCACAGAATTTAGTATGTATGTCTCTGGGGCTTTCTAAATCAGTCACAAAAAAGAAGAGGGAAGAAAAACATACCAGAAAGCGTTGTGCTCCACTGGCTCGTGGTTCTTTCGAAGATGCGGGTTCTAAGGATGATGGGTTCACTTTATATGAAGGGAAACGCACCATAATGGGTTGGATGATTGACTTAGCCATTGTGCCACTGAAAGCGAAAGTCCACTGCATGACCTCCAAAACAAAAGTGCCTCTAGAGGGAATGATTACAAACGAAGGTATTCTGTGTGACTGCTGTGGTGAAGTATTCTCTATTTTCGATTTTGAGATTCATGGTGGAGGCAAACTCAACCAGCCACTGGGAAGTCTATATTTAGAGGGTGGGGCTTCTCTTTTGCAATGCCTTCTCGATTCGTGGAATAAGCAAGACAAGTCACGGCTTAAAGGGTTCCACTTTGTGGATTTCAGTGGTGGAGACCCAAATGATGATACTTGTGGTATTTGTGGGGATGGAGGAGATCTTATCTGTTGTGATGGTTGCCCATCAACATTCCATCAGAGCTGTTTGGGCATAAAAGTAAGTCGTTTCGTGTTTTGTGAAACAAATATGTTGGGGTGATTTTTTGATATATCACTCTGTGTTGGCCAGAATTCATCATATTGCATTCTGACATTGTTTCCATGAATGTATCCAAGTATTATTAAAAAAAGATTAAACTTTGAGGGAAGGTGTGGAGAGGAGTCAAACTGATGGAAATGGAATTTCAGAATTTAATTTGTAGTCTCTACATCTATCCCTGGTATTTGTTTGCTGAAGAAGCTAATCCCCTTTATGTTTCTTTCTTTTATGGATTTTTCCCCAAAATCGCAGGTATTCCCATCAGGTTCCTGGTTTTGCTTCTACTGTTCATGCAAATTTTGTGGTGAAATTGAGGCAACTAATGATGGTGGCACAGCTCGATATCCCTTGTTGAATTGCTGCTTATGCGAAGGGAAATGTATTGATCACACCTTTAGAAATCTCTAATTATATATATATATATATATTTATTTCCTGTTTGGTTTATCTCCCGTGATGGTTATCTTGCACTCTACATTAGCCTTTGTTCCACACTGTTGCAGATCACCAGGCATGCGTCAGGGAAACTTGCAAGGCTGCCAATGATAAGTGTAATCATTCATTTTGTGGCAAGAATTGTCAAGAGGTGGTCCTCATCTATTTACCCTTATTGAATCTTTAAGGTTTCTCTGTGGTATAATGAAGTCGGTTCAGACACCGGCAAGCCATGTCTGTAGGTGTTGCACTACAAGCTGAACAAATGCTTTCTCGGGTGTATATCTGTCAATAAAACTTTTAGAGTTCTTCAAAACATTTAATTGAAGCTGCCATTTTGTGAAATTTTTATTTAAGTGTTGTATATATTATATATCTTTGCCTGAAAATGGCTTGAGAACCCTGATTTTTTTCTTGTTTTGCTCTAGCTATTTGAGGGACTTCAGTCACTCATTGGAGTGAAACAAGAGCTGCCAGAGGGTTTTTCATGGAGTTTCCTGCGCCGTTTTGACCTTACGACTGATGTTTCTAATGTTGAAGTATCTGACAAGATTGTGTGCAACTCCAAACTGGCTGTTGCATTTTCCGTGATGGACGAGTGCTTCTCACCTTTAGTTGATCACAGGAGTGGAACCAACTTGCTTCAAAATATTGTTTACAATTTTGGGTGAGCATACTTTTGAACCCTGTTCTTTGATGTATCTGAATATTTCCGACAACCCAGGCTGGCTAACAAGAGAATCTTTCCGATATCTAACCAAATGCGGTAACCGTATTGTTTAAGATATCTTAATTTAGAATGTATGTTCTCTAGGTCAAACTTCAGCCGGCTAAATTTCAGCAGTTTTCTCACTGCTATTTTGGAGAGGGGTGATGAGATCATTGCTGTGGCATCTATCAGGTATGTGGACATGCCTTTCATACCTTTTTCTTGAACTTGATGACATCATGACAAGTTCAAACTAATAACTTGTTTTTGCATGATGCAAAGAAGTCAATTATAAGATAATAAGACAACGACTATGACAGAATAAAGAAGTCAATTCAGTAATAAGGCTTCTTCTTCCTATTTGCTGCAGGATCCGGGGAAACCAACTGGCAGAAATGCCATTTATTGGAACACGCTATATGTATAGGCATCAAGGGATGTGTCGTCGACTAATGAGTGGCATTGAATCTGTATGCTCTCCTCATCCTTTTGTTCTCTGTTTCTTTGTTTCTTGTTTTATTGGATATTTCTAGTGCAACTACAGCTTTGCTTGCTGCATATTCAAACCGGCATATTTGCTAGCTGTACAGAAGAAAAATCTGTCAGAAGCGAAGTGTTGGAGATTAAAAGAATAATCTTCTATACTTTCACTTTTGATCCTGCTGA